AACAGTGCAGGTCTCCCAGTGGCCAGAATGAAGTATTCTCTTGTCAAAATAAAGTTGGGAAAAAAAAGTGCTATAAAATCACATTCACTTGGGAACCTATCTGAGTTCCAAAGTTCATGATGATAAGGTTCAATGAACACTTACTAAAAGAGAACCAGATAGGAGGTTGCCCACTGGCAGTTGGAATTTGGTCTGAAGACTTGGCTGGTTTGGTCTGTAAGTGTCATCCTTAAATTTGAGTTTGAACAATGTTAAATATATATATATATATAATCACTAAAATATGCACATTTTTGTCTTTTCTTAAAGTCTGGCATGGATGCAAACACTTGGCCAAACCTGCCAATCAGCCAGTGCAGAGCAAAAGTTGACCTTCGGGGAGGCATGTGCTCCTAGCTTTCCAGTGGCTCCACTGTCCGAGGTCTCCCAACCCCAAGGCTACAGGCCTAATGATGCTCTCCTGGTATTTAGAACTTGTCGCCATTGGACTGGACGAGTCCACACTGGGAGCTTTTAATTTTCAACTGGGTTATCTAACTTTACTTCATTTTTTTTTTTTAAGGAACAAAATACCACCTTGCAATCCGAATGCAGAGAAGATTTGCTGAGTGAGGCTTTCCAGTTCAACAATTATTTAAAGACATGCTACTAGAGACTCTTAGAGAAGACAAAGAAAAATGGAAAAAAATGTATTATGGTGTAAGTGGGCTGGAGTGGTTTTAGCATTTTCCACAGTGGTGGAGAGAAATACTTGGCTGATACTTTAAAAAATGTGAGTGGGGGCACAAAGGTGTCATCTTCACTTCTCCTACACCCACGCTCCACTGAGGTGGTGGGTCTGAGATAGGGGAACAGGATGTCAAACTTCTCAGGCGTGGAACAAGACACAGAATGGACTAAAAACACGACATAAGGAAGAGAGCCATACTCTGATAGAGATCCTTTTTTAAAAAAAGGAGATCCGAGCTAGTAATGCATGTGGTGCCTCTATCAAAGGCGCTGGCAGCACTCTAGCTTTTAATTAAGTGTCCCAAACCTATGTAAGGAAGCTATTTGGCAACACATCCATTTGGGACCAACTGAAGCATGAACAGTGCAGAAATGTAATAAAATTCCCCCAAATATTAGGCTTGTAGGTTATTTTGCCTTCAATATTCCTATTCCATGCCCTATAAAATTCTTGCCAATGAGTTTTATAGTTAACATGTCTGTTGTCTTTTGGAGATGTTCCCAGCAGAGGCTCACTTGGTGCATTCATCCAGCCAGATGGCTTTGTTACTGGTGTCAACCTTGCGTTATGATTTGGAGCCTTGGAGAAAAGCTCAGATTCAAAATCCCTACATAGGGAGTAGTACAAAGGATGCAGGTTCACAGGCTGGTCCACTTATTAGCTGTGCGATCTTGACAAGTCACTTAACTCTTAACCTCTCTATAGGCATGAGTTTTCTCATCTGAAAAAGAAGAAAGGCAAACTAATAAAAGCTGACCCACACTAAGTAAATAGCTGGCACACAGAAGGAAACTAATAAGCATTCCACATAATCTCCCTTCATTTCACAGAACGCTGGACGCTAAGGGGCCTTAGAAGTTGAGCAGTCCCACCCCCTCATAAACACAAGAAGAAATTAAGGACCCAGAAATGCTCCCAGACAAGCAATGACAATTCCAACAACTCTTGAGACCTGGGCTCTGGTATTTCACCCAATGCTGGTTTTCTCGCACAAGCCCACCCCATGGGAGATTCTAAGAGCAGGTAGGAATAGTGATAAGACAGTTCCTTTGTTTTCCAGCAGCAAGTGCAAGCCACAGGGCTAGGTACACAGACCTATTCTGTTGAAGTTGACATAGACCTTACTACTCTTTCCTGCTCTCATCCTCCCCAACTAACATATCTTGGTTGCTTGTTGGGACTCTATATACATCCAGGTTTGGTTTGCCAAACTAAGTGGCTGAGCTCCCCTGTCAATAGCTTGGATTATTGGTCAAAGTTGAGACATGATACTCCAGCATTATAGAATCACACAAAGACACCACACTAAAATTACTTTCTAAGCTTGGTTCCTGGTCTGTAGGGGAATGGTTGACCCTGTTAAATTTCAGCTTGCAAAGTGATAGCTTTGCCCAACTGCATTCTTACAGAATAGGGATGTGGAAAATCAATGATGTGCAGAGAACGCTGAGTAACTGATTTCCAAGAGAACTACTCTTCAAAAAGGACTTCACTAGCATGTTGGATATACTTCAATAGGAACCAGAATCCTAGATCCTGAAAGTGAAACTTCACAGTTCAAATAGCATGTTATAACTATTTCCTTCACTTTCTTTTGGGAGCAAAACAATACTCTTAGAAGATTGCTTTTTGAAAATAAATTATGGAAGACCGACTGATATCAAATGCTCATTTGTGAACTATAAGTCACCTAAAGTCATTTCTTCTACTGCCCACTGCAGGTTTTGGGGAAAGTGAAGGTCTGAGAAGATGGCTCCCCAGAAATCCTGTGCACATCCCCCCCCCCCCCCCCCCGCAACCCACTGTAACCCAGCCCCCACAATACATCTCTAATATCAAATATCTTCTCTTATGTCACTATCACCAAATCTTCTCTTGATCATTAGACTACCACCTTCTTCATGATCCTAAGAAAATTACAGAAATAGTTTGTCTATATATTAAGAGAAACAACTATTGATTAGACTGGGTAGATTTGTAAGCATTATGAGGAGTGGTTGGAAATAGAGTAACTTGTTAAGGATGACAGAAAAACCATAGTCCAAACATGAATTCAAACCCTTATTTGAATATGCTATTTTAAACTTATCAGTGGTAGGGCACAGACCAAATGAAATCACTCATGTACTGACTTGAGTCCCAAGCTTCAATTCTCGGGTGGATTATTTTAATTTAAAATAAGCTCTTGCTCTATAAAAATACGCAGCACCAAGAAGAAATGCAAGACAGCCTAAATGGCTCTAGAGGCAGAGAAGCTACTTTTATACAAAAACTCAAAAGTATTAATGACATTATTTCCACTTCTAAGTTTAGAAAAAGAACTTGATACTATAGCTCTAGGTTGTCATGAAGTAATACAGACAGGTAACAGACAGGTATATCTCTGAAATTACGCCTTATGATTTTTAAGTGACAGATGTAGGTAAATAGATCTTATAATATGACCACACAACGCAATATTATACAGCCACTTAAAATGCAGCAAGGGAGAACTATGTTTCAGCCATAGAAAAATATGTGATAACATGAATTTAAAACAGCGAGTGGCAGAAGTCATTTAGTGGCAGAAGTCATTTTTGGAAAACAAAAAGAAAAAATGCCTACGTGTACGTATACATAACCGTCTTTACACACACCAACATCTGTGATTCTAAATTCAGCTGCCTGAGTATATTTATACTTGAAGAACTGTAACAACAGCTCCTGTGTGCCTTTCCTGTTAAATTTCTAATTAACTTTTTTTCACCCCACTTAGAAAAACAACACACACACACACACACAACTCTCCAGAAGGCTACACGAGGCTTGGCTTGCAGGGGTTTTCTTGTTGCTGAGTGAAAGAAAACAGACTCTAGTCGTCCCCTCCCTCTTTTTAGCTCTATTCCTGAGGGTTTTCAAGAGTCAGGGACCGCCAGGTAGATGGCAGGTGCGGGGTGCAGGAGAAATCCGGTACCAAGCCCGCCAACTGAGTGCTGGTAAAGGGTGCGTGTAGCTCACCCGCTTCCTCCCATCTCAAACCTTCATAGCCTGCTCCTCCATCCAAGTTTTATCTGTGCGGCCCACCCGAGTACCCATCTGCAGAGCACACAGACTCCGCACGGGGAGAGCTGTGATGTGTCCTGACAACAATCGCCGGCCAATTCGCCTGGGGTCAGCCCAGAGCTACTCCCAAAGTGGACAGGTAGGGTATGGAGGAAGGTGGACAAAGTGTAAACATTTATGTTAAATAAATGACGTGTCACCTGCCTCTCAGAGCCAGCGAATGGGACGGAGGCCGCCAGGCGGAGGTGCGCGGTGGCGCCCGGCCTTACCTTGCAGGGGAACAGGACCGCCGAGGCCACCTTCTCCATAGCCAGGTTCCTGATGCTGGGCGTCAGGGCGCCCCTGCACGTCGGGCAGCAGCTCAGCTTCTGGCGGCATTGGTTACACACCAGGTGCCCGGCCTGGCACTGCAGGATGGGGGGCAGCACATAGTCAAAACAGACCGGGCACTCGAAGAGCGAGGTCAGCTCGTGGTGCTGCGGGGACACCGGGCCGGCCCCGCCGCCGCCGGGGCCCGAGATCACCGCCGCCGCGGCGGGCACCGCGGACGAGCCGGGGCCCGCGGCCGAGATGGTGGCGGCGGCCGGGGCCGCAGCCGGGGCCGGGGCGTGCTGGGGCTGCGGCGGCGGCGGCTTGCTGCAGGGTTTGTTAGCGCCGGGGCCGGCGGAGGACGGGCGGCTCATCGCGCTCCGAACCCACCATGGAAGTGCGGGCGTCTGCGGGCCGCGGGGCCGCCGGGGTCAGGGCGGTGCGCGCCGCCCGGGCGGTGGGCTCCGGAGCGCCGCCGCCGCGCCCCCGGGGCCGGGCGCCGGAGCGGGCGGGCGCTGGGCGGGCGGGGGCCGCGCGGCGCAGGCGATCCCCGCGGCCCCGGGCGTTCCGAGCCCCTCCGCGCCCCCGGCCCTTCCTTTCGGCGGCGTCGCGGCCCCGAACCGGAGCGGGCGCGGACCCGGCGCCGGCTCTCGGGCGGCCGCTGACGTAAGCCCCGGGGCGCGCGGACGTGACGCCGGGACACGTGTGTGGCGCCCGGCGCGCGGGGACTGGCAGGGCCGCCCTGCGGGGGCCTCCCGGCACCAGCTGGCCGCGCGGCACCGCCTGGCGCTACGCTGCGCGCCCGCCCGCCGCCCCGCTCTGCGCTGCGGGACTGCGTTTCCGGGCGGGAAGGGCCGCCCTGCGCGAAGGTGTCGCCGAGGTCATCAGGCCACACCCCGGGGGGCCACACCCCGGGAGCCGGGCGATGTGTCAGAGGCTCAACCAGAAGGACAACTTCTAGGGGGCGAGGGCGGGGCGCAGGCGGGCGGGCCTGAGAGCCGCGCGGCTTCTCCGGGCTGAGTGCCCGGCGCCCGGGGAGGCGCGTGGCACGCCCGCTGGGCTCTTAGTCGCGGCGCTGGCGCGGGGCCTACTAAGGGCTGTCAGAGTAGGTTTGGGCCACTTTTTGGTCCTGTTCGCCACACTTGTCCCCGAGGTAAACTCTTTACCAGCGGGAAGGCGAAAGCTTGGTTGAATTGAGCGCCTGTGGCTTGCCCAGTAGGCCTGGAAGGGAGTTCGTAGACAGCGTTGACTCATATGAGATTTCCAGACCCCCTAGAAACGCCAGAAATATGGTCCCAGGAAGGTCCCAGGAAGACAATGGGTGACCCTCCAGTTGAGCACGCTAAATCCTCGTCTGAGATTCCAACTCAAGTTAAAGGCTTTGATGTGAGATGTGGGCACTCACCTTGCAGAGTGAACCACAAGTTAATTCAAGGTGCTCCGAGTTAGGTTGCTTTTCATACTTTGAGCCACTGACACTGGAATTGGAGGAAGAGGCTACTTAGATGGGATTCAGATATTTTTTGTAGGAGAGACAGTGATAAGAAACAAGAGACAGGACTGGGTAAAGAATAGTGCTTCCTGCTTACCATCTGTGTGACTCTGGATTTCTTTAATTTTCTGTTGCCTCAATTTCCTCAATTCAAAAGTGGAATGAAAAAAGTATCTCATAGGTGGGATAGTGAGAATTAAATGAGTTTGATATATGCCAATCATAAACATTGCTTAAATGTTAGTTGTTATTTTAAAAAATATTGTTAGTGAGTGTTTAATATTAATATTATCAGTGAATAAAATCTGTTTAAGAAATATGCTGTTAGATGCCCGGCTTGTGTGGCTAGTGGTTGAGTGTCAACCCATGAACTTGGAGGTCTTGGTTCCATTTATGAATCAGGGCTCCATCCCAGTGGGGGCTTGCAAGAGGCAGCTGATCAATGATTCTTATCATTGATCTTTCTATCCCTCTCTTCTTCTCCTTTCCTCTCTGAAATCACTAAACACACACACACACACACACACACACACACACAGACACACACACACACACATACTGTTAGAGTCCAGAAAAAAATATTGAGTTTCATCTTAATTTCTTGGGACTACGTGCATGGAATTGGTGGAATATGATCTAAATCTTAAAAAAAATTAATAGGTATGATGTCATTCAATCATTCAGTAAATGTTTCCTGAGTATTTGTTATACACAGTCCTTGTTTGGGCTCTGAGAATGGTTCTCATTCAGTTTACCTTCTAGTAACGGAGTAATGAGGATAGCCACGCACTGGTGGGAGAGGATTTCAGATGAATAGGTGGTGGAGGTGAGGACATTGTAGCAGGAGCTAAAGCACAGGAAGATAATGCATTTAGGAGAGCATTGAGCTTGGGGGATGGGGATGGTGCATGGAGCCTCAACTGGCCTGATAAGACCTTTACCTCAGTGACAAGGGGTAACCACTGTAGGTTTTTGAACAGCACTCTAACATGGCGAGACAGAGTTTGGAAGGGGGAATACAAAATAATAACTAATATATTTTTATTGATTTTTTACAGAGAGGAAGGGAGAGAGATAGAGATCTAGAAACATCGATGAGAGAGAAACATTGACCAGCTGCCTCTTGTACACCTCCTACTGGAGATATGTCTGCAACCAATGTACTTGCCCTTGACCGGAATCAAACCTGGAACCTTTCAGTCCGCAGACCGATGCTCTACCTTTGAGCCAAACCGGTTTCGGCATAACTAATATTTATTGAGTGCTCACTACCTACCACGCATGGTTTGTTCTGAGGATTTTGTAACAACTCTACATGATGGGTACTATTGTTCTCATTTTCATTATTATAGTTGAAACAGACACAGGGAGATTAATTTGCTCAGGATCACACAGCTGATAATCTTTGAGAAAAGCTTTTTAACTACTAACTAGTCTGTACCCTTTTAGTTATGTCCAACTCCTACTAATAGCCTGGTTAAGGAGTTAAGATTAGCACACTCAACACATTCAGAAAACTGCTGCACAGCCTGAAGTAAAGCACTGAATTTTGGGGGCATACTTCACATAAATTCCTTGCTTAGCTGGTCTTCAGAGGAAAAAGTTAAATCATATTCTATTTATTCCATTGTGCCTTTTTATATCATAAAGAACATAATAGTGACAACAGAAAAAAGAATCAGCCACGGTTTCACTTTTATTGGAGAAAATATGGTATTTTCCACTTTTAACACCAAGCTAGTGAAATTTATTACCAAGATTCCTTTCCTTTTCTTCCACCTCTGGTCTTTCGGTGCAGGTGTCCTCCATGCCCAGGGCTCACTAGCTCTCACTGGAGAAGTGGGATCCCCACCTTGCCATGTTGACATGAGTGTGCAGTGTTCCAGTCAGTGAGGAACGAGTTGTTCAAAAGGCAATATGGTTTCAGAGGTGTTGAAACAAAGAACAGGAAAAACAATTATCTGCAGAGAGATTTGGTTTATTTTTCCAAAAATACAACTAACCCATCCACACTTACCCTGGCAGGTGCCTTCCATGGAATGGAGAAATTTGTTCTTGCTTTCACCTTCATGATAATGCACTCCTTTGGCAGTTGTTGGAGGTAGGTGGGATGGGAGTGAACAGGCCTGCTGGTTGACCCACATTAGTGACCTCTCCAGGCTGCCAAGCTGGCCTTTCCAGTCCTTCCTTCTTCCTCCTTCCTTGGGACCTTTGATACAGAGAAAGGTGGCCTTTGCACATTGGACACTGTGCTAGAGCACTGTCTAGCAGGAGGCCATGCATACTAGTGTGAGGTGTATCTACCCAGGAGATTGCCAGATTGCCGGGCTGTGTTTAATGGGTGACTTTGTGGCCTGGGAGGAGGAAGTTAAAGGAGGTGGGTGGAGTCCAGCCTTCTCTCAGCTCCTGATTTGTGACTCATTTATCACATCTGTTGTATGACAGGTTGGCCTCCTTCCCCCACCCACTGCATCTCACATTGCACAAAAGGGTCAAGTGCAAAGCAGGACACCTCTCCTTAACCCGCCTCCCACTCCATACTACCCTTTAAAGACTATGGGTGTACTGAATAATCTTTCTTTCCTTAAAATGTCAGGGTGAATATTGTTTTTTTAAAACTCCTCATAGGTGAGCCCCAAATCTCCCCATAGACTGCAGAGCACAATGAGAAAGGCTCCAGCTAGGCAGATAAGCTCTTGCCCTTTCTGTAACTTACGAATTGTGTGCTTTTGTAAATTGGGCAACTTCTGCAATCAGGCTAATGGTGTGCATTTTCAGAGCAAAGTGTGGTTGGCTTTTTCTGTGTAGGTTTAGAGATGACTCAGGATGTCATTGGAGCCTGCTGCTAGGGAATTTCTAATGCGGGGAAAGCTTGTGGGAAATTTGAAGGTGGCTGTGAAGTCCCCTCATCATTATGGTAGGAACTTTCATCTTTATAAAGTACTTTTGTTTCTGGGGTAATTTCCACATGCTCTAATTTTTTTTTGAATAATTTTAGGTCTTTTAATGCTAGTATTTCAAGAACAACCAACATGAACCTAGTATGTACTGAATATTGCCACAGAGTATATGTACATTTACATTATTTTTGTATCCATACTTAGCTTCTTTAGTGCTCACCTTCTGTCAGGTACTGTGCTAAACACTTTACATATTTTAATTCTTTTAATATTCACAATGTTTCCTATGAGGTAGATGTTTACAGACAATAGAACTGAGGTACAGAGAGGCCAAGTGAATTGTAATTAGTCTTTAGGATGGCTGCAATGAAACGTCCTCCTGCTGCCCTTCCCAGTGTGATCCCCTTCCTTCAGGTGAAAGTTGGACCTACTGACTCAGTATAAATGAACAAAATCTGGCCAAAGTGATGGAATGTCATTTCCAAGATTAGGTTACAAAAAGACTAAGACTTCTATATTTCTGTCTGTCTCTGAGCCTTCTCTGTGTTTGAAGTAAGCTACCACAATGGGGGTAGCCCTATAAAGGCCAACAACAAATAGCCAGCAGAGACCCCAGGGCTAGCTGACAACTGAATTGCACTTATGGGACCCTGAACAGAGGATCCAGTGACAACAGAACTGAGCTGATACAGCAGCGGTTTTCAACTGTTTTGAACCGCTAGCAGTGTCACCTAAGACCATCGGAAAACACAGATATTTACATTATGATTCATAACAGTAGCAAAATTACAGTTATGAATTAGCAACAAAAATAATTTTATGGTTGGGGGTCACCACACATGAGGAACTATATTAAAGGGTTGAGGCATTAGAAAGGTTGAGAACCACTGTGATATAGAAATTGTGATAATATAAGTTTAAAAAAAATTTTTTTGTTAATCCTCACCCAACGATATTTTTTTTTCATTGATTTTTTATAGAGTGGAAGGGAGGGAGGAGGGAGGAGAGAGAGAAAGAGAGAGAGAAATAGAGAAACATTGATATCAGACACATCAATTGGTTGCCTTCTGAACTTGCCTGACCCAGGCTTGTGATCTGTCCTGCAACTGGAATTGAAATTGTGACTCTTCAGTGCAAGGGCTGACAGTCTAACCATTCAGCAACACTGACCATGGCAGTGTTTGTTGTTTTAAGCCACTAGGTTTGGGGGTAATTTGTTACACAGCAATATATAACTAATGCACTTGGTCAAGGTTAAAAAGCTTGTTTCTATTAAGAATTACAGATTACAGAGACTGTACATTTTTCCTGTCTTAAATTATTTTTATTATAATGCTACTTAAGTATGATATATAGAAACAAATCTAGGAATGCAGTTTTTATGATTATGGTTGTATACAGCTATAAAAATAAAAAATTGGACTACCAAATTTTACAAATACCCAGAATAATGTTTTGTTTTTTTTTACTACTTATTCTGATTTAAATTTATACTTTTTAAAATGATAATTTCATATAAATGAAGCTGTGCTAAAATGAAGTCATTATCTAGTTTGGAAACAATGTCAGTGTCCTTCAATAGGAAAATGGTTTATGTAAGCCATCCCACAAAATCTTCTGCAACTTGGGAAATTAACTGCTATATGAAAACAAGTTGCAACCAAGAAGCCCCCAAACAATCCCATTTATAGAAAAAGTATCAAAACAAAGTGATAATTTCTTTACATGTTTAAAGGGTATAGGACTGTCTGAAAGGAGACAGTGAACTGATGATAGTGCTGGTTTCTGGGGAGAGAAGTATGAATGAATGTATTTTGCTTTGTATTTTCTGTATCTTTATAGATGGTGTATTTTTTTTTATCTTCTCTTTTTTTTTGGGGGGGGGTGTGTGGAAATAAGAATTTATACTGTTTCTTGTGTAATTAAAAAGAAAGTATTGTCTTAGACTTTCTGGGGTTATTTTAGAGTAGGATTCATTAGCGGTAGGGTTAGTGCCATTGTGGGGTTGAACCCTGGGTTCAAAATAAGACCACTGAAGGCTGATGATTTATTAAAAAAAGCAGGCAAGAATTTATTGAAATATCTGGCCAGGGCAGCCGCAAGAGCACCACACGCAGGTGGACTCCAAACGACTGCGCCGCTTTAGGGTTTTTAGAGGTTTTTAGAGGTTTTTAAAGGTTCTAAGAAGGAAAATCCCCATTCTGCAACAAACTGTTGTTTGGAATTTTCTGCTGTTCTTCCTAGATAAAATGTTGCTTTCTAGTTTGCTTTAGCCCGTTTGAAGAATGATGAAGATAAACTTAGCTGTCTGACCTTGCAGTCCAGAGACCAGATATGCCCACAATCTCAATACCATGCCAGGTGCATTTTTTTTTTCTTTTCTTTTAATTGGATAGAACTGTATTGTTTTCGAGGCCAGCATCGAGATAACCACTAAGTGTACATAGGGCTGGCTTTTTAATAAAAAAAAGAAAGTTCTGCCTGTAACCTTGCCCAGAACTTGAACTCATCCTCCCTAAACCCATTTCGTGATGAACAAAGCAATTCTCTTCAAATTTCCCCCTGCACCGTCTGACTGCTCGGGAAGGGAACTCTGTAACAGTTCAAACCACAAGAATTTTCCTTTGTTCTAAATTCTAAATCCTATAGACTATATTCTAAAAACTGGGGGCAGCCCGCAGGATCATTTCCAGTCACATCCTGCTGGACATTGGAATGTGGCCCTATCTTGCAGAAGCAGAACTCAGTGGTTAATCTCCAAAGGTTATGGTCCCAGGCACAGGAAAATTGCCTTAGCAGGTTTAAAATTCAAATAGCAGTTTTTACCAAAATATGGTTGCCACTATATTTCAGTGCAAAAATGAGTGACACATAAAAGATCAGCTAGCCAGCCAGAAGAGGTGGTCCTTGATGGATAGGCAGGGGAGCTTTAGTCAGGTCTGGGTCTGGGAGGTTGTGCTGAAACTGGAAATTTAATAAGAGTAACTCAAAGGCAGGGTGTGAGTAGAACTTAGAGACCCTGAACAACAAGAATTAGACAAGCTGGGGACCTGGTGCTTTAAGGGAGGCTTCCTGGGCCAAGCAAAATTTCAGCCCTGGGGCAGAGGTAGTTGTGGCCGTCAGCTGAGCAAGTGCAAGTATTTATTCATTTGACAGTGTCACATTTGGAGGCCAAGGATAAATCAAACCCAGGCTTCACATGCTGGGGTGATAGTAGCCCAGAAGGGAGATAATATTAATGATAACTCACCCTTACATAGTGCTTACTAGATACCTGACACCCTTTTAAGCACATTACATTTAATCCTCATAACCCTATGAGGCATGTAGTATTATCCCATTTTATAGATGAAGACGTTAAGGATCTTGGTCACACAGCTGATGTGTGGCCAAACCAGGATTTTGGCCCAGGTGATTTTAATTCCAGTATTTAAATTTAATTCCAGTATTTGTGTGCTTAACAACTAGGCTGTCCTGCCTTTTGACAAATGCCATAATAGAGTTTGGAAAAGGGAGGGTAAAACTGGACAAGTATGAAGGAGATATCAAGAAAAAAGCAACATTGTTTGAGTTGGGTCTTGAAGGAAGAGTAGGAATGTAAGAGCAAAGGGGAAGGAGGGTGGTTAAAGAATGAGAGACAGGGAACAGTATTCATGAAGGCATAGAGCTCTTAAACCGTCTATTTACCCTCGGAGTCTTCTGTTCTCTTTCCAAAAAGTACAAAAAGAACCACCCCAAATTAAACCCCTGCTCTCCCCCCTCTTTCTGAATTAGCTAGTGACATACAGTTATGGATCTGTCATGCAGTTCTCCCAGGACTGTTTATTCTGAGATGTCTATCTTGATGAGACAAACAATATTCACTCCTTAGTGGAAAAATGAAGAAAGCTAGAGGGGAGAGAGAGTCCTCAACACTATCTCACTGTTGTCCCTACATCCCTAGGCTTGGTCTAGATTCACCATATGGCCTCACCTACACAGAGTGTGGGCCACTGAGAACCAACAAGATTGACATAACCTTGAGGCCTCAAATAATACATTCCTCTCCTCCAGTATTAGTTTTGTGAGACTAAAAGCCCAATGGCAGGCTGTCATCAAGTCTGAGAAAAGAGATGGTGTGATAAAAGGGAGAATCTGACTCCTTAATGGAAAGCAGGTGATTTTTAAAATTTGTCTCTATGGCTGTCGGTGCAACAGAAATTCAGAAAAGAAAGACAAGCCTGTGCAAGTATTTTTCTCCCCAGTTTTCCTCCTTCCCCTTCATTGCTCTTGGACTTGGTGAGTGGCCTCATCATTGCCCCTGTGTGCCTGACTAGGAATCAGGGAACAATTCTCACTTCCCCTACCACTGGCTCAGCTTAGATCTGTCTCATCCCACAACCTGCCCCTTCTCTGTCCCTGCTGCCCTGCCTTTCCTGAGGACAGCATAAATCACGGGACTCTGCCTCCTGCCACCTTGTCACCGGCCTTCCTCCTCCAGTACCTTTTTTTGCCATCTCTAAAGTACAAACATAAATAACCCTGGCAACTGAGTGGCTGGATGCCTCAGAATGAGTAATGGCATGCAAACCACTTCCCTTATTGTTGTATCCATCATGTGTAAAAAAAATAAAGTAAATGCTTGCTGACTGTGACACTTGCCTTGGGTAGGTGAGCCTGGCTGTTTGGCTTGCACAGAAGGAACTCACTTCAGACTAGTCCAGGGGGTTCACATGGAAAACAAGGATATGTAGTGCTAGCAGGCCTGACATTGGAGTCAGGAACCACAAATCCTCCAGGAAGAGGCCAATTGTACTCTCCAATTCTTTCTCCTAAAGAGTTTTTATTTACTTTCTTTCTGCAAACTGGCTGTCATTGCTGCTCACAGCACAGGAGCAGCCCACACTATTTCAATTCCCTTCTCTGAGGGTTAGTAGGCTGTGGCCAGACCAACTTCAAGCCCAGATATGAGGAGAGAGAATCTGATCATTCCCAGTCCAATCAGCTAAGTGCAGGCAGGTGGCTCACTCAACTCAGTCTGGCTTCTAGGGCTCCTCTCAGGGGTGGAAAGAACTTTGAGAAGAGGAGTTTGGGGTTGGCCAGATGCTACAGAAGTTGCCTACTGTGTCTTATAAGAAAAGACATGATCTTTGTCTTCTCAGCAGTTAAGCCCCTTGGGAAAATTGAATGCCTAGTTGGAGTTATTTCAAACCAATGTAAAATCTTTGTTTTTGTGGACAGAACTTGGAGTTTAGGGAAGCATACAGCTTTGAGTTTATGGGGAGAATGGTAATTTCAAATGAGAATAATTGAAGGAGCATAGGTCATAACAGGAATGAACGAGGGCAGTAAAGACTTCTCAAAGTAGATTACATTTTGAATGATGCAAGTTGGGATTAGGTGGGTAGAGTGGGAGCATTTATTGGAGGGATTTGAATACCAAATAAATAAGCTTAGACTCACCTCATTAAGGATCAAGAATTGGGATAGTTGAATGGAAACTGGGTGTGTCTGGAATCAGATACTCCTTGATTTGAGTCTGTCCCTTCCTGTGTTTTATGGGACTTGGGAAGTTTCCTTAACTTTAGAACTTCAGGGTCCTCAACTAGAAAGTAGGGATAAAAGTACTGGCATATAGTAGGTATCTGTTGTTTTATCTGCCCAGCATCCATTCCCATTCCTAATAAGTGCTTCTCAGTGTCGTGAGGGTGGTGGACCACTCTGCGTGGATTAGGTAGGATTGATCCCACCTCCCAGTGTGGAGATGGACACATATCCCTGGCCAGGACTATTCTTACAGCAGTTTCCTCAGGACACTTTACTTCCACCTGTTAGAAATTGTAGCTCATATACAGATGTGTGATAACTGGAACGAATGGTGCTCCCTTACATGTGGTACTGTGTATACTACCTAACCTGACCAGCTGTGCAAAGGTGCTCTGACCTGGGACAATTAAAAGCAGTCTACCTTATTGTCCCAGATCAGGGAAAGGGAAGTTACCCAAGCTAGACTGATGGGAGGTAGTTGTATTACATAAAATTCTGTCTGACAGTAATGCCAACACATTGAGAAAAACTGCTGAGAGATGGAAAGAAGCATAAATGCATCATGTGAGCTATTTGATCCAGAGGTGCCTAAAGCTATGGAGTTATCTCTGGAATTTATCAGTTAATAATTGTTGAGGGAGTCTGTCCTTCCTACGTCCCTCTTACTTGGATACTTCATGTTGGGTGTGCTAGGAACAAAAGGCCCTGACCACTTTTATTGGGCCATTTCTCATAGTTATGTTCATAGCAAACAATTTTGAAGGATGAGGTGATGTCTGCCTACAGGATAAAGAGCAGGTTTTCATACTGCTTGCCAGAAAAAAAAATGGATTTCTCAAGCTCAGTGTTCCTCAGCTGTGATGAAAACCTACTGTGTGCAGAGCATCCATCTAAGTCAGTGGTCGGCAAACTCATTAGTCAACAGAGCCAAATATCAACAGTACAACGATTGAAATTTCTTTTGAGAGCCAAATTTTTTAAACTTAAAATTCTTCTAATGCCACTTCTTCAAAATAGACTTGCCCAAGCCATGGTATTTTGTGGAAGAGCCACACTCAAGGGGCCAAAGAGCCGAATGTGGCTCGAGAGCTGCAGTTTGCCGACCACGGATCTAAATCATACTAAGTCACCTGTGAAGGGCTCAGGGTTAATGGAACCTAAGTAAATATGCTGGTACTCATGCTGCTTGTTATGCCATAGTAGATCCAGGAGTTTTGTGTTCTCTGCCAGCATTCAAATGAAATAGTAACAGGCTAACTTACTAGCTTATAAGTAAGGTAAAATTCATACCAGATTAGCCAATCATCCTTTCTTCATTTTTGTTTTTTAATCTAGAAAGAATTGAGATTCTGCCACTTGCAACAAAAAATTCTAATAAAGTGTCTTCCTCATCAGTGGAGATAATATATGAGAAAACTTCAAATCTATGCTGGGCTGTTACGTATGCATGGTCCTAATATAGACTTTTATTAAACAACTTGAGATTTAATTGACATACAATAAACTACACATATTTAAAGTGTACCATTTGGTAAGTTTTGACTTATGTATGCACCAGTGAAACTTTGCCACCACTATGATAATAAACCTAAAGATAGATTATTTTTCCTTTTTTTGTTAAGTTCTCACTGAGATCACCCATTCTTCCCCTAATGTCCTTGAGCATCCTTATAACCATTGTTTTAAACTCTGCATCTGGTATTTTGGTTCTTCCATTTCATTTAATTCTTTTTTTGGGATTTCCCTTGTCCTTTTATTTGGAGCATATTTCTTTATCTCCAAATTTTGTCTGCCTTTTGTGTTTAACTCTGTGTATTAGATAGATCTGCTGTGTCTTCCAAGCTTGTTATGAGGGCTTTCTGATGTAGGTGCTTTGTGGGTCTCAGAGGTGCAGTCTTCTAGATCACCTGATCTAGGTACTCCAGAAATCTTCCTTGTATGGGTTATTTGCCCCCTCCTGTTGTAGTTGAGTCTTGAATGCTTTGGCCCACTCATAGGTGAAGTTAATCCTCAGGCTGGCTGACTATAAGGATGTACCTCATTCACTGTGTATGAGTCATTGTTTAGGGGCTGCTCCCCCCAACCCCCTGAGATGGAGTTGTTTCTAACATGTTCTAGTAGCTGCTAGACTGCAGTGGTTCTCAACCTTTTTAATGTCGCAACCCTTTAATACAGTTCTTCATGTTGTGGTGATCCCCAACCATAAAATTATTTTTGTTGCTACTTCATAACTGTAATTTTTACTATTGTTATGAATTTTAATGTAAATATCTGTGTTTTCCGATGGTCTTAGGTGACCCACAGGTTGAAAACCACAGTTGTAGAGCCTAAGACCATCAGAAAACACAGATATTTACATTAAAATTCATAACAGTAGCAAAATTACAGTTATGAAGTAGCAACAAAAATAATTTTATGATTGGGGGTCATCACAACATGAGGAACTGTATTAAAGGGTTGCTCGTGGCATTAAAATGGTTGAGAACTGCCGGGACCGGTTTAGCTCAGTGGATAGAGCGTCGGCTTGGGGACTGAAAGGTCCCGGGTTCGATTCCGGTCAAGGGCAGGTACCTTGGTTGCAGGCACATCCCCGGTAGGGGGTGTGCAAGAGGCAGCTGATCGATGACTCTCTCTCATCGATGTTTCTAACTCTGTATCTCTCTCCCTTCCTCTCTGTACAAAATCAATAAAATATATTTAAAAAAAAAATGAATGTCCTTATTAAAAAAAAAAAAATGATTGAGAACCACTGTGCTAAAGTCTCCTTTGGGTGTGCTGGTTTTGTGGCTAGTTTAGGTCAAGCTTTGGTGAGGTTTGAAGCCCACCATTGGTTGTGTTAATTCTGAGCCCACTTCGACAGGGTTCTAGTGAAGATTGGTGTCAGCTGTGTAAACGACCTTGGGCTACCTGTCTGGAGCTACCACATTATTCACTGATTATGGCTGTGTCTACTGGGCTTGGTGTGCATGGGAGGTGCCACCAAGCTGTGTATAAGATTCGGTTTCCTGCAGCCCTGAGATGGGAACAGATCAATAAAGGGTCCAAGGCTCTCTGAAGTAGATGTCCACCTGTCAGCTACTTTGTCAGCCCCTGAGGTTGCCTAGATTTCCTCCAGAGACTTTTGAAAAAAGACTATAGAGTGGACCCAAGTAGGCTGTGTCCCACTACTTCTTCCACTCTGTGCAAGCTAAGTTAGGAGGATCAACCAGCTCAGGAGACAGGGCTAGTGGGTCCCCTACTTGGGTCAGGCACTCAATGGGCCAAATGTGGCCCCTACTCCAGAGCCATAACACTTAGTCTCTGCTAGAGTTTTCCTTGAGGAGCACACCACAGATTCAGGTTGGGTGCAACCAGCTGTCCCCATTGTAGGAGCAAGCTCAGCAGGGCAGGCCCCCAGGACTTGGAAAAACAGATCAAGACAATCCTTCATTGGGGGTGGCGCTGGGCTGAGCTGGCAGGAGGGAAGTGAGTTCTGTGTCTCCCTTTAGTTGCATAGTTGTACCTGCTTGAATCCTGGACCCCTGAGGAAAGATGAATTTAGAAGGTCCTCGCTCTGAGTGGTGTTCCCTTCTCCCCACAGATCTGAGCTCAGCAGGATGGGGCCACCAGGACTTGGAAAAATACGGGTCTAGTAATAATGTCGTTTTTAAACATTCGTTTAAAATCTTCCTTGGCGTTGACTTGTATTGACATAACCTTCAAACATGCGGTATCTACAGAACGTGTGAAGTGCAATTAACAAGTTCTGCTTGAAAAAGTTTGTGTTTGGTTTGGTTTTTGTTGCAAAACTAGGGCTAAGAAGATGGCGGATGAAGAGCATATTCGGCACTGCATGCTTTACGAGTTCCAATTAGGAAGAAAAGCAAGCGAGGCTGCAAAAAACATCTGTAGTGCTCTTGGTCAAGATACAGTTAGCGCCAGAAAATGCCAGCATTGGTTTGAGAAATTTCGCGAGGGAAATTTTCCGTTAGATGACAAGAGTAGTCGAGGCCGTGTGTCCAATTTTGATCAAGAAGCTCTTCAAGCTCTTTTGGTGCAAAATCCTCAAATTACCCAACAAGAGCTTGCGACAACTTTAAATTGTTCACAAAAAACAATTTCCAATCAATTGCGTGCACTTGGCAAAGTCCAAAAGTTTGGGAAATGGGTTCCTCATGAGTTGACCGACAACAACCGTAATCAAAGAGTCACAATTTGCAGTTCGCTCCTCTCTCGTCAAAACCGTTTGCCGTTTTTAGAGCAAATTGTTACCGGAGATGAAAAATGGGTGCTGTATGTTAATTTGAAAAGGCGGCCTTAATGGTTGGACAAAAATGAGGCTCCGCAGCCCACGCCAAAACCTGACTTGCATGCGAAAAAAGTGATGTTGTGTGTTTGGTGGAATTTTAAAGGAATTCTTCATTATGAACTTTTACCATCTACCCAAACCATTACAAGTGCAGTGTATAGTGCCCAATTGGAAAGGTTAGCCCAAGCTTTAAGAGAAAAAGAACCCGCACTGATTAATCGGAAGGGCGTAATTCTTTACCACGATAACGCACGACTGCATACTTCAAGAATCACTGCTGAAAAACTGCGCCAGTTGGAATGGGAAGTTCTCCCTCAACCTGCATATTCTCCTGATATTGCCCCTTCCGATTACCATTTGTTTCGTTCTTTGCAAAACTTTCTTCTTGGAAAAAAATTTAATAATGAAGAATGCCTCAAAAATGCATTGACCGAATTTTTTGCATCAAAATCACAAGAATTTTACAACAGAGGGATTAAAATGCTTCCTGAGCGTTGGGCACAAGTAGTAGAAAACAACGGCAACTATATTGTTGATTAAATTTTGTTGTATTGTTTAAATAAATTTGATTTAAAAAAGTATTAGAAAACGACATTAATTATTACTAGACCTAATATAATAAAACAGTCTCCCATTGGGGTGGTGCTGGCTGAGCCTGCAGGTGGGGGGAATACTGGTCCCCATTCCGAAGCCTTGAGTGTCTGCCAAGAGTTTCTCCAGAAAAAGAGCAGACCAAAGGTCCCACTGGGTGCAGCCAAGAGTCCTTTCTGCTGGATTCAAGCTTGGCAGGATGGTGCCACTGGTATTTGGAGGACTGGGTTAGTGCACTCCCTAGGCTGGTGCTGTAAGAATAGGAGTGACCAACCCTGGGAAGATGGTTCCTGAGGGCAGTGTGGGATGTTGGCTCAGCACAGGAACCTCAGATGCTGACCCTCCAGATCTCTCTTCAGTGCCACACCATCCAGGTCTTCTCTTTGTGACTCTATATTCCTTGAGTTGCCTGCCCTCTACTGGAGCCCCAATTGACTGCAGAGACCAAACTCTTGTGCATTGGCCCTTCAGGAGAGCACCTGGGTTTCTAGCAGACTCCACCCTCTTCCTGGCAGAAAGGGTCCTCTTGATTTTCACTGCCAGATACTATGCAGGCGCCACCTCCTGGCCCTAGTGCTCTGGGTTGGGGAGTACTGGCGGGTGTGTGTGTGTGTGTGTGTGTGTGTGTGTGTGTGTGTGTGTGTTGGGGGGGGTGGTATGCGCTTCTCAGTTGAGACTTGTGCTGCCAAGCTAACCTTCCAGCTTCTCAGTTACTGCATATGGGTGCAGGAGTCAGCCCTCTTTGTGTCTCTGCCCTTCCTACCATTTTCTATGTAGTTTCTTCTATAAATCCTGGAGTATAATATTCCTGTTCAATTGTCTTTTAGTTGGTCATTCAGGTTGATTGCTCTATAATTTAGCTGAAAGTATGTTTTGATGCCAAGTGGAGCTGAGTGTAGCTTCTACCTATCCTCAGCCATTTTGAAAAACCTCCCATGACATTTAAATAACCTAGTGGATCTAAGTGGCTTCAGTCAGCCATGACACCAAAGCACCAATGCTCATTTCCCTAGCATATCCTGTGCTAAAAGCATGATCCAAAAATCCAGCAAACAATGTTTCCTCTATAAAGAGGTAACATGCAAATTGATCATCACTCCAACACACAAGATGGCCACCACCATGTGGTCAGATGGCTGCCACAAGATGGCCAGCAGGGGAGGGCAGTTGTGGGCGATAAGGCCAGCAGGGTAGGACAGTTGGGAGGGACCAGGCCTGCAAGGGAGGGCAGTTGGGGGGTTCAGGCCTGCAGGGAAGGACAGTTGGAGGGGACCCAGGCCAGCAGGGGAGGGCAATTAGGGGTGACCAGGCTTGCAGGGGAGGGCAGTTGGAAGTGATCAGGCCAGCAGGGGAGGGCAATCAGGGGCAATCAGGTCAGCAAGGGAGCAGTTAAGCATTGATCAGGATGGCAGGGGAGTGGTTAGGGGGTGATCAGGCTGGCAGGCACAAGCAGTTAGGGGCAATCAGGTAGGCAGGCAGGTAAGCAGTTGGGAGCCAGCAGTCCTGGATTGTGAGAGGGATGTCTGACCACCTTTGAGGGGTCCCAGATTGGAGAGGGTGCAGGCTTGGCTGAGGGACACACACAACCCCCAGGGCATGAATTTTGTGCACCGGGCCTCTAGTCAAGTAATAATTAAAAGGT